GTGTGTGTTTGTGTCTGTGTTCTGTGTCACACACACAAACACGCACTCAGACGAATACCCTATGTCGCCGTTGCCACCACTTCCGCTACAAGAAGGGGCATTGTCGAGTTATTCGTTAATAAAAATTCGTTTATTTCGACCACAAGGATCATAGATGTTAGTACCGTGAAACCTTACAACTTTGCCCTTGGGGGACAACTTTGCCCAAACACGAAAATTAACTAAAACTACCTATAGAAATTTAATTTTAACACGGGGCAACTTTGTATGGCACCTAGAGAAAACTAGAACATATGTTTGGCAACACTGACTACTACAACCGCAGCTAACTACATTCAGTCATCTGTCAGCAACCTTCAAAGGGACAGTGTCGAAGGTGGTGCAAAAACATTGTTGCAGTTTTGCATCCCGCATTGCCAAGAAACGCTGCGCAGGGAAGATTCATTATTATTTACGTTTAGGGCATTAATTGTTGCTGCTTTTAATCATGGTCTCTTTCTTACAACTGTCTTAGTTAGCGAGAAATTTGTGTGGGCAATGTTGTAAGCAATTTTATAGACTGAGGTCGACAACATTGCCCAGCTCAAAAATGTTAATAGGGTTGACACTATTGAAATAAAATAAGGAAACATGTACCTAGGCATAATAAATAATATACTTAATAAATTAAATAAATGTATATAGGTACATCAAAAAAAAAAAACAATATAATACTATACTATAATACTACCAATATAATATAACTACTGTTCACTGAGAACTAAACTACTGTTCTGATAACTATATAGGTAACTAGATGCTGTTTTATATATATTTTAAATATAATAAATAGGTATATATATTTGTCTGGAATTTTTGTCAGAAACCGCTAGTTTCCCAAAAGAGAAAGCTTAAATATTCTCAGTTTCAGGCTAAAGTTTTTTAATAAGATTTATGCGTCATTTCGATTGCAAAAAAAAAAAATAAGTCTAAAAGAGAATTACGATTTTAGACATTAACGATCGCAGACAAAAATGGCTGACAAAATGGATTGGTACGCATAATAGGTGAACTACGTACATCAGTGGTAACAAAGTCGGTATAAGCTGGCCTCGTATTATATTAAATAAGTAAACTCGTGAGGTGTATCGATTTTTCTGATGAGAAGTGTATATACTTATACCTATAATTATGAGCTAGAATCGTAAGGGTAACATCAAAGACTGTTAGTAAGTAGTTTTTTCAATTTCAAGAAGTTAGTTAATTTGTCAATTTCAGAAGGTAATTCTTGAACTAAGCACTATAAGGATAATGTTGTAGGCTGTTATATGTTAATTTTGGTATTTTTTGTTCTAGAAGAGATATCTTGTTATTTTTTTTGTATTAGGAGCGATAATCTGCCTTGGGTGCGTGTGATAAAAAATTTCTGCGCTGCTTACTTTTTTTTATAACTAATACTCACGCAGGTAACTAACAGGCACGCTTACGTTAGCAGAGACCTTTTTATTTTTTATAAATATTTAATAGGTACGCTACCTACCAACTACTTATAAACATTGATTTTCTTGATTTTTGTTGTTGTTTAGTTAGTTGTTGTTTTAAATTTTAAAAATAAAAAATGCAATGCCTCAAAATCAATTTATTATTTTCCTTTCATCTGAGGCACAGCCCTAGCACCTCAAATTTCTTAGTATGAAAGTGTGACTAAATGTGGTGATAACATTGCCCACCGCCATTAAAACTTAAAATGGACTTCTATTTATTTGAAAATGTATTGGTATTCAATATTGTCGGTTTGCTAACAATTATATCTTAAAATCAAAATCATAGAGCTTATAGTTGCTGAGAAATTTAGGTTGAGCAAAGATGTAAGAAAGTGGAGATAACTTTGCCCGCGTCTGTTTTTGTTTTTATCTCAGCATCTGTTAGGAATTAATTCACCTGGTTTTAACAGTTTATTTGTTGCATATAGTGTCATTTAAAGCTTTATAAACCATCAAAATAAAGTGGATATTTTTTGAAAAAAGTAATAAAAACCGAAATATGTGGGCAAAGATGTAAGGTTTCACCGTAATAATAAAGATCAATAATACAAATCTTAAAACTAATTTTAGTAAAACTTAAAACTATTTACCTAATTTTAAAACTATATCTAAGACAGGCCCGATTAGTCAGCACGTGTACCATATGAAAAAGGTTCAGGTATTGACCTCAAACCTGTCAGAAAATGCCCTCAGGATACCATTGGAACTGGCCCACACCCTGCGCACCAGGGGTGTGCATCGTTTGCGCATGGTGGTGTAGAAACAATCCACACGCGCATCCGCAAACATACCCTGCGCATTACAATAACGAGGTAGACCAAACAACACCCTGAATGCATTACATAACACGCATTTAATCTGTAGCTTGTACCGCAAAAGATACGAAACGGCAACGTCGCGGCAGCATTCAGCCCATCCGATCGTTTATCTTATCGTTTGCTGTGCTCTGATTAGCTCATTTAAATCGGATAAACATTTTCCGTAACCATCGCAAGGTGGATTTGTATATCGGATCAACTTCGGCAAACGCTAGCAAACAGTCTCGTGAGTGCAGATGTTGATCCGGTCGGAGCCACATTAGTTACCAGAGATGCATATTGGATCAACAAAAAGCGCCGGATCAACATGCGTTTTCGGATCAACATTTACTGTAAAGAGATCTCTATATATATATATATATATATATATATATATATATATATATATATATATATATATATATATATATATATACCTATACCTTTAAACGAGCAATTCTTGTATTTGTATATATATATATATATATATTTTCATATTATAATTAGATTTTCATAAAATTTAGTGTTCAGTGAGTTTCGGGGGCAATATAAATATATAATAGGGCGGGGGGATCTAGCTAGGATTTATTTTTAGAAAATGTCCTTTTGTCCGTGTTTTCAGGCAATAAAAAAACTGCTACAATATAAGAAGGTAAATTTCAACAGGTTACCAACGATCGTAATAGCTCAGATGGGATGTTGTTCGGGCGTGATATCGGAGTTCCGTGGTTCGCGTCCCGTCTTGGGTCCGACTTTTTTTCCTTTTTTTTCAAGTTCCCTTCTTTTGTGAGAAAATCTATTATTTCGAGCCCTTTTTTTAGTATTTTTTAAAAATACGAAAATTTTAATTAAACTAATTGCACTCATGATTTTTTATTCAAATAACCAGTTCAGTTTTTTCTATTATGTCAATAAGATCAAAAACTATTATTCATGTAATTTGTATATAAATGTAACTTAAAAAAACCGAGCAAAGCTCGGTCATCCGGGTACTACACCAGGGTATATATATATATATTGCAAAAGTACTCATTTTGCCTTATTTTTGGTATGTATATATTTAACAGACACATGGACAGAAACATAGGGTAGAGCCTTGTTATGGTTGTAGCATGAATGGGTTGGCTCGACCGGGGAAGGACCACACTCTCAAATAATACCAGCTTATTGCTGCAGTGTTTTGTATGGTGAATGTCGAGAACCGGAGCTTAGTGCTCAGGTCGACAATACAACTGAGTGTTTACATGTGGATAGTTATGGGCGACAGCATCTACTTACTATTTGGTGAAATGTGTACTTGTTTGCTACCCTTATTCTATAAAAAAGATATTTTTAAATAATTAGAATTAACCTTTAGTATTTCTACATATCTTTCCTTCCACCTTTCTAACTCCAGTATTTTATAATCTTCATCATCCTTAATAGTCTATTGCTGAAGACCTGAACATTGACTTTCATAAAATTGAACAATCAAAAAATAACTAGACACAAAAACCAACAATTTGTTTTGCACAATTATTGACTTTGCCTGAGATTTTAATTAAATTATGACTTTTTTATTTTATTTTCTGCAGAACCAACAGAATTTTGTAACATTGCAGCGGAGTAGTCACCCATTACTTACTAGACCAAGTTGTTCGATAACTTGAAAATTTTAAAGAATCTTGTTACTTGCAACATACCTGAGCTGACACACATTCCCTTCTAAAGGCTTCATGTTGTAGCAATTCAAGGAAATGAAGGCACATTGGATATTTAAGGTAGCGTGCATATTCAGGTTCACGCCAGTACTGAAGGTATCGCAAGTAATTAACAAATGTCTGTTCTTTAAGATATCCTCTTTGCGCTAAAACTAATAGAAATACCCAATATTAATAAAAAGTAATTTTAAAACAATAAAAATAAGTTTATCATTCAGTTTAGGTCATTTTGTGTTAGAATATCCACTACTTCTCTCAGTGGGTATGCTAAGAGACGATAGAGGGGAACAAACCAGGATATAGGCAGCAGGGTTTTTCTGATAATGAACTGCAGTTGCCAACCTGCCTATCAACAATGGCCAATAACCACATCATGAGGCAATCTATGGGGAGGCAGATGTTCAGCAGTAACCTTTGATATGCTGTAAAGGATGAATGATTGATAGATAATATCTTATCCTCTGAACTGGGGATGTCGATTTCTGAGACAAAAAAATATCTCCGTTGACTGCGGGCGTCTTAGAAATGGAGGATTTTTTACCAGCTCATTAACCCTTCAATCTCTAAGTGGTTGAATTCGACTTCAGCACTATTCCATCAAAATTCAAGTGGTCGGTCACACCCACAGCACTTTAAACTATTAAAACTTATATTTAGAGGCTACTTTTCTAAGAAGTTTGGCATTATAGAATTAATATAAATTTTCTCTACTCTAGTGCAATAAAAAGTTGTTATACTATGGATATGGATATTTATTTATAATCTACGTTCATTTCGTACGCCATTTTCACGTGAATATTACTGTATTGATTTTTGGATTTTTCTAGTGTTTTATATATATATTTATCAAATCACAGTGGATATAATAAAAACAACATCTATCTGTTAAAAAAGTTCAGACCACCAATGTGGTTGTAGGTTTAGAACAGTTCAGTTCAGAGCCCAAAAAATATTTTTTACATTAAATTATTATTTTTTATGAAAATATTGACAGGATTTCAAGTTCGTAACACAATTTATAATTTAGTTGTTATACTTAATGAACAGAATGGTATTTCTTTAGTAATCTGCTGCATGAATTTATGGTCGCCGAGTGGGCGGGTAGATGGGGGGAGGGCTAGGAACCTCCCCCTAAAAGAATTAAGTGCCGGAACCCCCCCCCCTTTATGAATTTTTTTAGTAATCTGCCGCATGAATATATGGTCGCCGAGTGGGGGGGGCTGGGGTAGGAACCTCCCCCTAAAAGGGGGAAGTGCCGGAAACCCTCTTTTTTTGTAAAATCATAACCTCACTTTTTTATACAGGAATATTGACGCAGTTACTTCTGCAACGGTTTCAGCGCTGCGGGAAGTGCTGCCCCTTCGCCCTTGCGTAGCAAATCACAGGCACCTAAGTGAGCCATAGCGGTTGAGGCTGGTCAGCCGACCATCTCCCGCTTCATGTTCCTTCCGTCACCTCTTATGACACTCTCGGGACGATATGATGTAGTGAACATTCTTACACCATCACTACAGGGTTTTATAATTATTTTTTTAAATATATTGTCTATCTAAACACATTTATAAAAGATATTATATTTAGGTATTTGGGTATATATTACCTACAGTAAGCAATTATTATATTTTAGTTTCTTAAGATCGGAATATCTTTGGCTGCAAGCCAAATCTCTTGAGGCATTACATTATGCTTAGAAATGGCATTCTTATTCATGGAGTAGCTCTTTAAGAGTGAATCTTAAAATGTTACATAAATTAATGTTTTAATCATTAGAGTGATAATGCGCTCGATTTCTACTTTTTCTTCTAAAAAATAATATTAAAATACTTTCTTTCTTTGGTAATGATCGCGTACGGTTGTTCTATTATAGATTACAGAGATACTTGCTGACTACATTGCCAAGGAATTGTTTATCGATGATATAATAAATATACTAAAAATATAATAAATACCACCATCTGTATACTATCTTGGGTATGTTCACCGACCGGCGGCAGTCATTTTTTTAAACTATACAATGTGCTTTTAATGTATTCTCTGAAGACTAAACCTATACTAAACTAAATTTAACTGGTAGCTCAGAGGCTAAGCAATAGATAATATAACATAATATACTCTCATGCCTCTTATTTAGAGGGGTAGGTCGAGACTCTGGACCTCTATTTGGAACAAGCCTGACATACATTTATCTTTGCATTTATGTTCATTAAGCGTACTCTTAACTTGAACCATCTTCATTACATTGCCAATTTGTTCGATAAACTTCCATTGGTAACTCTACCTATACTCGCTCTTTTTGTTACTCTTTCCACATTCATATTTCGCATTCGCTCTTTTTGTCACTCTTTCCACATTTTTACAGTGGTAAAGCCACGTGGCAGCTTTGATGTTGCACGTATGGGCGGCTCAAACTGGGATGGTACCACGACCTCACAGAATACCGGCGTGAAGTGGAATAAACTGAACACTCCTTTGTACCTCGGGCTGAAGTTTTCGTATACGTCAGAGAGGACATCTCTTCTCGACGCTACAAGCCAATTAGTGCCGGCGTTCCACAAGGCTGCGTGCTATCACCAACGCTGTTTCTTCTGCATATCAATGATATGTTGCAAGCCTGTAACATTAGTTGCTATGCAGATGACAGCACTGGTGATGCTCTGTACACCGGCCGTGCCAATATTTCTCGGGAAAACGGGAAATTCAGCAGGAATAAGCCGACACGGGGGTGGGGGCTGCTCTCCCTTCATGCCTACGGCTTTACAAAAACACTAGGGGTAGGGCAGACAAGACTATGTTTAGTCGGGGTGTGCTAATTCAGTTTTAGAACCAATTCGACCAATTTTATCTATAAAGTCTAGTTGCTCTTAACTCTGCTACTAGAGTGGTAAATGAAATAATGTAATGTGAATTGTTATAATTTTGTTTTCTGAAAAACCTCTTGACTGCTCTCCACTGCAACTCAATTTGTTGTATATAAGTCCCATCTCCAGCCACAAATGGATTGTCTGGGTCCGAGTGATTAACATTTTTATGAGTGTATCTGTGTTAAAAAAACAAATTAACATATTTGCATTTCGTTCTATGTAATTTAAAGTGAAATTTATTTTTATCGTAATTAATTCAAATATAACCTCAAAACTTTAACTATCGATATCTCGAAAAATAAAGATTTCCGGCATAAAAAGCAGCTAAATGATAATCAATAGCATCATTGCCTGTCAACTAAAGCTAAAATAATCACATAAATCGTGCAGCAGATTACTAAAGCCGACCCAACAGAATTTTTTTATATTTCATACTTACAATGTATGTAATTTGGATTTGCCAAACACTGGACAAACTCAAGTTCCACTTGAAACCTTATTCTACTCTGCTCTTCAGTCTCAGGCATTACTGCAATATTAATATTTATTCAGTCATTTAAGTTACCACAAACAAAATAAAAATCATACGATTTAAAATTATACCTTTTGCGGCCATCATCTTGAACGTTAAGTTATAGCCACACCAATCTCCAGAAGCCGCATAAAACGCTTAAATTTTATTCCATTCTCAATTTAAACTATTTGAATGAGCACTAAAATATTGGTAGTACTAAAACGTGGCGATTATTGAATTATATGGCCCAATATGGCCCTTTTGAGTAGTATAGGACCTATTGGGAATTGGGACCTATTTTACTTGCATACTCTTCTCCGATTTTCCTAGCATACTCGTCTGTGATTCCTTGATTTAAATAGATATAGATACTTTCTTACAACAGAATACCTTTATATTATATTATCAATTGAAACTTCTTAGCTTTCTACACTTTCTACAAAATTGGAAATTTAATATTCAACTATTCATATTTCAGTTTGATGTAGGGATGTTCGATGATCATCGATGTTCGATGATCATCGATGTTAGAAATTAAAACATCGATGTTTTAACATCGATGTTGCCACATGTCAAACATTGTAACATCGATGATACCACATCTCAAACATCGAAACATCGATGTCAATGAGCCAATAATTGATTAATAAGAACTTGTGAACAATGCGAACCCGCGAAATCAATATCAACTAAATATTTCATCTCCTATTAAAGGTTTAAAATTTTGAATAATTTAGGATTCTTAAAGGCATCAATCACCTGAAAAATATCATTATGTTGTGTCAAACTCCCTCTCAAGTGTGAACCGTAATGTCACTGCTTTCGCTTTGTTATTCTGTGGTATCATTGTCACCTAATAACTATTCTACATAAATTGATATAAAAATAATGTTTTTTCTCTTGCTGTCTATACACACATAATTTTGAAACAGTATGAATATACACAATCCAATTATATTTAGCTGTTTTTGAGCTAATGAGTTTATTTTTCGCTTGTACTTTATGAAAATAAATCACTGGGCGATTATGAGCATAGAAAATTTCACTGCATAGTGCATTTTACAGTGCATTTTATAAACGGCTGTGGATACTTATTGTTTGGGCTGTCTGAGAAAAAATAGTGAACAAAGGTGACGGAAAAGTCTAATATTTTGTTTTTGTGACGTTTGCTAATTCGCCCTCTATAATCAGATTTTTTTTATTTCGTGATAGGAGTGGTAAATATAGAACATACGTCTAAATCATTAATTAGGTCTCATAGTAAATTTTTTCGTAGATTTTTGGTTGTATAGGAACATTTGAAGATCAAAATAATAACATTAATCATTATTGGCAAAACATATAACAAATGAACTAAACATTTGTTAAGTTTTACCCATTTTTTAAATTACTATTTAGAACTAAATGTTTTATAAATTTCTTTCATTTCATTAGTAATAAACTATAAAATACACTATAATTTTTTTGTTTATCTAATTTTAACCTACTAATTAGGTAGGTAGTAGGTACATGTGCAATAACATCGATAATGGCTAACATCGATGTTTTAAGTACGATAAACATCGAACATCGATGTTAAGCTATCGATATCAACATCGATGTCATCATCGATGTTTCTGCAACATCGAGCATCCCTAGTTTGATGGTTTGATATGAATTCATAGACTATTTTTTATTTTTTAAGGGACTTTAAACTTATGATGCGTAGACAGAGAACCAAAGAGTATAATAAGTATGTACAGGAAATCAGGAAAGACGTAGACATTCTCATGCGTAGTATCCTCTTAGTAGTCTGTGACATTCTCTGTATACGAGGAAAGACGTAGACAGAGATAGGTTTCTCTGTCTACGAGGAAAGAGAACTGTCTACGTTATGATGTTTTTATTATTCGCTCGAGAGAGCAGGCAAAGGAACTAAGCCATACAGCCTTGTTTTTTTTTAAATTTGATTATATAGGATTTTGAACTATAAAGGCCGGGACCAAGTCTTATTTTTCTTTTTTCCATCTCTTCAAAATCCATAAAGGCCAAAGCCAAATCTTATTTTCTTTAATTCTTCATATTTTCAAAAACCACAAAGGCTAAAGACAAGTCTTCTTTATATTATAATCTTTATAAGTTTCAATCCATAAAGATTTATTAGTCCAGTTTCAAGGTTTCCGCACTTTTTTTCTGTCCTTCACAATACGCTGATGCGTCACAATGCGAAGCCTTTGGGAGATTTTGACGACAGCTCAACCCAGCGGACAGATGATGACGACAGCCACTTAAGTTCATAAAGCGCCTAAGCGATCAAAAAAACTGAGGTTTATATCGATATCGAAGCACTTGCTTCATCGTTTTCTCTAATAGTTCACACGTCTAGACAATTAATTCACAAAATCACATAACTTTTACGAATTAAAATCCACTTCAAACCACTATTCAAGCGACAAAACAGGAGCGACAGTCCGCCGTCGGCCAAGTTCACAAACTCCAAGAGAACTTATTGTTACATACATGATATTATATTATTATAGATATATATTTTTCATTAAGGTTTAGGTATAATTCTTACAATTAAAAATAGTGCAATTTGAAAGGAAAACATTTCCATTTTGAAAACATCTTACGTAAAATGTTTCAAATAAATATTTTTTCTTACTGGCAAGCACTCTTTAACTTGAAGCGAGCAACCCTTTTTGAACCACATCCACAACAACCACTAGTAACGGCCAACTTCTTCGAGAACACAAGCATTAACGCTTTTGACGGTACACATTAAGTACGCGCTCCGTTACTGGCAGCAGACAAGATCTCATTTCCCTGCTTCATCGAATACTAAGGCAGTTTTCTGAACCTGACTGTGGAAAAGGAAAAATAGTGGACACATTTGGCCAGAATCCACATCGCACCGGGCCCGATAATCGCAGAGCAGCTCAAAGGTTACCCAGATGAGTGTTTGCTAGGTCTTATGTGTACATAACATAATTATTTTGATCTTTGCGAGCCTAATCTTTCCTTTCAAATAGTGTTGTCTTGGTAAAAGTGTTATCTTTAGTACACACGGTTTAAATTTTTTGAATTTAACGTACATACGTACTTTCATCGACGTGTCATATAGGCTATCTTTGCAACGCAAAATGCCGAATCCAGCATTAGGTGAACAATCTATGTGTGATGTTTCATGCGAGCAGGGTATGTTCGAACGCGATATTATTTTAGATTATTTAAAAAGAACATTACAATTCGCAACGACCGATGAACAAAAGTTCCGTTCGCGAACTAAAGATCTTACTGCACAACAAAGAAAGTTTAGTAAATTGCAAACTAAAATTAAAAATGTCTAATAAGGACAAAAATGTTCAACAAAGATGAACAAATTAAAATTCGTAACGATTTTGATGTCGCATACTACGCTATTGTCACCCGTTTGAACAAATTAAAACAGGATGACGAACAAGGCAGGTGTATGTCCTCCATCCAAAACTAATACTACTAATCCCACAATTCAAAACTACCTAAAATTCCCTTGCCCAGTTTCTCGGGTAGTAGTACGGACTGGAATTCATTTTATGATCTGTATATGTCACTCGTACATAACAATAATGCCTACATAGATGCAGAGAAATTCAGGTATTTACTCTTTACTTTAAAAAATGAACCTTACAATTTAATTAAATCAATTCCCATTACCGACGCGAACTATTCAGTAGTAAAATTGTAAATTCATTCATTTTTCATTATGACTTATGAGAACAAAAGAATTATAGCTTCCACTCATCTCGACAAAATTCTCGATGTTGAACCTTGTTCAGAAAAATCTACAAGCAGCTTACGTAACATTAAAGCACTTGAAGTCATGTTTTTTCCTACAAACGAATGGAGTTTTATTTTATTAACGATTTTACTACGAAAAATCCCCTCCTCTATTCGCAAACGTTTTGAGTTATCATTAAAATCACCATCAGAAATTCCTGATACCAGCACACTAATATCCTTTTTGGAGCGAGAATTGTCCGCAAGCGAAATTTGTCACTCGAATTTCGGTCAGATTACTAAATCCGAGGGTCAATCAAAATCAAACGCACCATTAGGCCGCGGCGGTAGCACGACGGCATCTCCGGGCGCACGCCGTATATTTATATCAAACAACACATCTCATCCGGTCTTAGAGTCTGCATGTAATACACCAAACAAAATTCCGAGTGTTAAACATTTCCGTTGTGTATACTGTGACGCTCAACACACACTAACTAAATGTCCGACGTTTTTAAAATTACCACCCAAGGAGCGCTATTCGTTTATTTGTGATAAAAAAAGTTTGCTTTAATTGTTTGCATGTTGGACATGACGTTAAGCAATGCAGATCAAATTTTCTGTGTCGAACGTACAACGAACATCACCATACGCTAATTCATTTCGATAATCAATCTTATGTAGGTGCTACCGAGACAGCTGATCCGCATGACAGCTCCGCTTCACTCCCTCCCACAGCGTACGATCCCGCTACGTCGAACGGTTCTGAGCTGGTTATGACGTCAGTAAATCATAATACTCGCGACGCTAGCGCGCAATCTAGTTCTGCTCCGTCACGTACAGTACTGCTACGAACGAGTACAGTGCTACTGTCAACAGCGCTCATCGATGTTTACGTAAATAATCATAAGCGGTCGACCGTGCGTTGTCTCATAGATTCGGGAAGCCAGGTCTCTTTTATTAGTGAAGCATGCATACAGCGTTTGGGTTTAACGAGAAAACATGTCAATATGTCTCCTGTTTACGGTATTAATGAAAACAAACCGGTCTATCCAAAAGGCTTAGTTTCGTGCTATATTATACCAAAAAATAAAACACAACCTTCGGTACAAATCGCTGCCTTAATCTTACCGACGCTTATTACTACACAAATGCCTTCTTGTAAATTACCTAAGGACCTAATTACCACACATTAAAAATTTGACATTGGCTGATCCCGATTTCTTCACACCTCAACCAGTAGAAATGTTGCTTGGAGCGGACATACTTCCCCAAATTCTATTACATAACACGGTAATCGGGGAGCCTGGTACACCCATAGCAATAAGTAGTTGTAATAGGTGTTAGGGTTCACTTTGGGTTGTAAG